GAGTGTTAGCTACTATGTGGGTTTCACTAAACATCTCGCCAAAATTTAACATTTGTACCCACAACTATTTGAGAGTACTTATTCTTTCTTACTTATCATGAGGCCTACAAATCTTTGCACAATTGCAAAACATTCTCATCTCCATTCCAGTGATCTATATCTGGACTGGACTTCTGCCAAAATATTCCGGATACATGAACTATGTCAGGGTAAGTTCTTGCTTATAAGCATTCATTAAGCTTCCAACAGCTGAAGCATATAGGACGTCCTTTTTAATCGATCTCACATTTATTCTTGGAACACTGAAAGTTTCGAAAACTATTACCCTTGACTATAGGAACAGGCGCAGGTTTATTCACATATATACTTTATTTCTTTAGAATCTTCTCTAAGTATACACTTGAGATAGTTATAATACCCCTTTTCCTTTTATCTCGGTAAGTTCCAATTCCTGGAACGAATGATGCTTTACCAAGACCATTCTCATTAAAACTTGAGGACAAGAACTGCTTCTTCTCCAACAGTAGATTAACACCACTACTAGCGAGTAAGGTGCTACCCACATGCAGGATTAGGAAAATAAATTCCCCATGTTTAAACTTTGCATAAATACAATTGTCCTCTACATTCTCTTTAAAACCCAAACTTTCTTATTGTACTGTCAAACTTCAAGAACCACTGTCTTGAAGCTTGCTTTGATCCATAAATGGATTTCTTTAGGCAACATCCCTTTACGTTCTTTTCCTTCCACGATAAAACCTTTTGAGTTATGCCATGTAAACGTTTCCATACAAATCCTCGTTGAGGAATGTGTCTTTACATCCTTCTGATGTAACTGTAAATCATAATGTGCCACTAATACCATTATGATTATAAAAGAATCCTTGCAAGCTTATTATAATATATATTCCTTCTCTTTGTGTAAATCATTTCGCCACAAGTGGCGCTTTATAGCTTTTCATATTTCCTTTGGAGTCTCATTTGTCTTGTAGACCCATTACAGCCTACTGTGTTGGCTCCATTGGGAATTACTTCTAAGTCCCAAACATCGTTGGTATTTATTGATTTCATTTCATCTTCTTTTGCTTCTTGCCATTTAGACGAGTGAACGCCTCTCATGGCTTTTTCAAATGAGGTGGAATTACCCTCTATTTGAATTTCTTTCTTAACATTGACTACTTAGTCAATAGAAATATCTGATTTTCTTATTCTTTGAGACCTACCGGGGCCTCATGGCACTTCTTTCATATGGGGCTATTGTTACTCTTTATTGCCAAAAGGCAAATGTTCTATAGCCTCCTGTATCACAAGATCCTTGTTTACTTATTTATCTTCTTTAAGAGCTAACATCAGGTGTTGTATATGTCATACAACATCAACATGTATTAAGCAGTTTGTTGCTCTAAACACTGTAGTGGATATGTAATCCCACTTCTATTCAAGCTTTAGGTATCTACATACCATGCTCCCCCAGATTACTCCATCTTCTGTAAAGATGGTGTATCTTCAAATTTCTTATTTTGGGTTTAATCTGCTAAAAACTCATATGTTGTCATCCAATATAAATACTAGCTGACTATGCTATCTTTCTATTGGAACTGTAAAAGGTCTAGGAATTTAGCTATTTCTTTACTTTAGGTGTATCGTTATTATGACCGTCTTACTCCCTCAACGATCACATTCATCTTTTATAGATCACTTTTACCTTCAATGCATAGTATGCATTGCATTATCTAAAGTATGGGAAAGTATCTTTCTTAATTGTCTTTCTTAATTAATCTTACATTTCTCCCCCTTGAAATGTGGTATGAACTTTTCTACCACAATTTCGAAACATTCAGAACTTTTGTGAATGAGGAAACTTTGATTACTTACTTCATCCACATGATTACATCATGCAAACAAAATTCGTATGGGAGTACATTTTCCTCATTACACTTCAAAACTCAACATAGTCTATTATTCTCAATACTTCTGCAAGTCACGCTTGCATATCATTCTTATCTTTTGGTTCACACTCACCTTTCTTTTGTTCTTAAACTCATTGAGTACTTAACGACCATGACACAAACAGAGTGTACGGTCAATTCTATGATAGCATAAGAGCTACCCCAAAATTCTCTCTATGTGCGGAATACACTTAGAGCACATGAGTCATCATATCCTTCTCCCGCCATGCGGGATAAGTACTATGCCAAACTCTCCCGCCATGCAGGATTGGTTAACATATGTACTATGCCAACTTTACCCCTCCATGCGGGTATTTTCTCAATCTTTTCCCGCCATGCGGGTACTATCACAAACTTTTCCAGCCATGCGAGATAATTCCCTTAAACCGACATAAATGCCAGGATTGACTCGTGTTCAATCATCAAATTCAGAAATAAATCCGAATATTCTTTTAACACACATGTTTAATCCAATGTTAGTCAAATTAATATGTATATGACTTTTACAACTCTCATAAGTGAAACTGAAAATAAATTCTTGTTCACAGAGAGTACATAAAAGACATTTCTCAATGAAGATTCTCATTGATCTATCTCTTTTCTTGGATCAATATCCTAGAATTCTTTTCTTTTGAAGTCATTCTTTAAAGAGAACATAGTCCCTTAAGCAATGGCATTCTTTCACATATAACTTGCCCTTAGGCATTTCATCATCTGAGTCACAAGTACCCAGCTCATTTCTCTTACTGCCTTCAAGAATGAAAGCAAGGAAGTCTTTTGTTTGAATAAATATTCAACAATAATGCTCATTAAACTTTGAAATCTTTATGTTCTATTCTATATCACCGTTGGACAGAAATAGAATAAAACATTATTTTCCTACATTAATTCCACATCACCGTTGGAGCGAAATGGAATTAACGTATAGAAATTCAATAATCTTGAAAACATAGAACTGCTCCTCAAAATTAAATTCTCCCGTTGGTTCGAATTTAATTAGAAGGCAATCAATTTCATTGCAGCGGAAACATGAAAATACATTTCTCTAATTTACGAGCATTCTTTGATCTTTATCTATTCTTTGAAAATTGGTCACTTTGATGCAAAATTATCAGAGATTTAAACATAAAACTCATAAAATTATAATATTGTTATTATCAACGTTGGTCAGAAAATAACAATACCATAATTTAACTTTAACTATCAACTGACTATTCCTCCAATTAAAATTTTCCCGTTGGTTCCAATTTTAACTGGAGGATTAACTTTTTATCATTTATTGAATAACTACAACTGCTCTTCAAATTAAATTCTCCCGTTGGTTCGAATTTAATGAGAAGACAATATTCTTTAACTTCTTGAAAATAATACTAATTCAGAAGCATTTTTACTTTACTCATCTGTTCTCTAAACAAATTATCACGTTGGATCAAATTTGAGTAGAGATAAAACATTTAAACTTAACTTTATTCATTCAAAGTAGCTTCTGAAAAAAAAACTGAAAACATCTCCTTCTTGTTCATTTGGCCTGGAGGCCTGCTTGGCCCGAAGGCCTGATTGCTTGTTCGGCCCAGCAGCCACCCGCGCAGCGCGCACCCGCGCCCAGGCCGCAACCTGGGCCTAGGCTGGGAAAGTGGCATCCCGCCTGGGCCGCTTTCGACCCGACCGTGCTCAGCCGTCGATGGAGATCGGACGGCCGTCCGCGCCCAGCGGAGGATCAAAAGGCACCCGCGGCCGCCGTTCCCCTAAACCCCTAGTTCATTCCTTCCCTCCCCTTCTCTCTCTCGCGCCGCACGCGACAGCGGCGGCAGCCGTGGTGTCCGTCGGCGCCGATGAGGGGTGGTGCCGACCGAGCTTGTCTGGCTCCCCTTCCTTTCTTTCTCGTGCGTCTCTCTCTCTCTCTCAAGAAGACGACGCATCTCGAAAGCAACAAATGAGCCGCGCCGGAGGAGAAGACGAAGACGGCGCCACCGCGGGCCCTCTTGCCGGCGAGCGCGCTCCCCATCGGGAGAGCGCGCCGCCATCAAGCGGCTCTGTCCGTTTGCCACCACTACCCGTACCGCAGCGGATGCATCTCGGCGACGAACACCGGCGCGGTCCGGTCTTTCCCGCACGACGACGGAGATGGTAGCGGTGAGGTAAGCCACCGGCCTTGCTTTTCTTTTCCCCCTTCCGTGTTTCTCCTTTTCTACTCGGATCCAATCCGATTTGGGGACGGGGATTGGAATTAGGGTTAGGGTTTCGATAAGTTAGGGTTAGGGCCGATTCGATTCACTGTTCTTCTTCCCCATGAGTTTTCACGGATTTAGGGAAAAACCTAGTCTGTATGCTCAGACCCGAAAGGATCTAATCCATCTCTTCCTGCGCGTCAGCAAACCGGCGGCGGGTGCTCCATCCCGCGTGAGGCGGTAATGACGGCGGTGGGGAAAACTTCCCCGGACCGTCCAATATCTTTAGGGTTTCATTTTCTCCGAACCGAAGTTCGTTTCTTTTTCTTTTCCTTCTTCTTTTCTTTGCCCCGATCCGGATCTACATACTAGAGAACCGGCTCTGATACCATTGATATGTACTTTGGATCGTCTAGGTGTGGATCCAGTGGGTTAGTTCTTTCCTGTTGAATCATGAGTTTGCTTTGGGGTAGGAGACAGAGAGAGAGAGAGAGAGAGATGTAGGAGCATCTGACCGTCGGAGGAGCTCCCTGCCTTCACTGGTTCGTCGATGAAGATCTGCGCTAGGCAGCGACGTTTGGTGTAGGTGTGAAGACCGGCGGTATTGGTGGTGGAAGCGGTGGTGCTTCCCGCTTGTGGCGACCTCCACCCTCTGGATCGGATTAGGGTTAGGGACGATGGGGCGTGGTGGCGGCGAACCTCGTACCGTGTGCCGTTTGCCCCACCTCCTCTTTATAGGCACTGTGTGATGGGGGCCCACTAGCCACGAGATGGCTGGACGTCCCCGATCAGGACGCGGTCAAGGGTTCCGTCTCGACCGTTGGGTCAAGACGGATGAGATCAATTCTAACACAGTGTACCGTACACACACCGTCAACCGTAATCATGCTCGCAGTACCGAAACTGCAAGATCATGCAGCGACAAGCCGGCTGATATTAAATCCTTCCATGTTTGGCTGTTATTAAATAAGCCGGCTGAAGCTAATATGTTGAGAGAGAAAAATACTATAGATTAGCTGATAAGCCGGTTTATAATGTTGAAGCGAACTGGCGCGGTAGGCCAGCTGGACCGTCGGAGCTGTGCCGGTGAAGCAGCTGGTGGCCACGGCGACTGCGCGGCCAGCCACCTCCGGCGCCGCCGCCGTCGCAGTGGTGGGCCAGCTACCGCCGCAGTCATGTATTGTTCTGCTTCCTCTCCCCTGAGGAAGCCCTTGCAGAGCGTGGTCCAGAACGCGCGGTCCGGCCCGCCGGTCTCCGCCGCCGTCCGCCGCGCCTCCTCTCCGACGCTCCTCTGGATGTCGTTCTGGTCGGTAAGACGGTCGATGAGGTTGTGGAGGATGTCGACGGTGTACTCCGGGTGGCCCTGGATGCCCAGCGCGTGCTCCCCCGACCGCGAACGCCTCCACGCGCGTCTTCTCCGAGTAGGCCAGCACCGTCGCCGTCGGCGGGATCTCCCACACCTGCGTTATCACGCACCATCCAGACAATACACGTCACGCCATGTCGCCATGTATGAGAGTACCACTGGGGGTGGCGCTGACTGTGCATGCAGCAAGTCCACTGCTTTGTTGGTTGCGACTTGCGATTGATTGCGACTCATCCATCAGCGCTAGCGGCAAAAATCTGGCATTCCGCATGTGGTATGCGTGCACCGATGCATCCACGGCCTACGTACAAGGACGACCACACGTACCGCGCAATACAAAATATCAACACGCACCTCGTCCTGGTGAACGACCTCGATGATGGAGGCGCTCCGGGGAAGGTCGTCGCCGACGTTGAGTAACGGCAGCAGTCCGGCCAGGTCCTGGCCGTGCACGAAGGTGACCTTCCTGACGCCGACGTCCCATCCACTGCGTGCCCTGCCGACCCTCCCGCCCAGCGCGCGGCACAGCACCTGGTGGCCGAAGCAGACGCCGAGCACGCGCTTCCGCATGGCGTGGAGCGTCCGCAGCAGCGCGCAGAGGCGCCGGACCCAGGGCTCGTCGCCGTGCGCGTCCCGCGGGCTGCCGCTCACCACGAACCCGTCGTACGACGCCAGGTCCTCCGCCGCCGGGAACTCGCCGCCGATCACGCGGAAGCAGTCCCACCTCTCCCCTCTCCGCGCCGTCGCCGACGCCGCCGAGCGCGGCCACGAAGACGTTGTGGTACCCGCCGTACGCTTTCCGGGCGTAGTCCGAGTCCCACAGCGCCAGCAGCAGCGCGTACCGCCGCGCTGCTGGCTTCTTCGCCGTCATCGAGCACGCGGGGGCTCGAGCGCAGAGGAAGTGACAGCTAGCCACCTAGCTATAGAATACAAGCTTGAAGCTTCACTAGTGTAGTGTAAGTGTAACACCACCGATCGAGCTTTGCGATCTCGACCGATCGAATCGATGGCGATGCAGAGCCAGCGAGAATTCAGGCTTCTATTTATGGAGCCGGCCGGCCGGGGTGCGCGTAGGATCCGGTCTGGGGTCACAGTCCCTTGTGAAACACGTGGCTTTTAATAATTACTTCCTTTATTTTATCGACGCAAGTTAAAATGATATTGTCTTATAGATTACACTTTGATTATTTATTTGCTTTTATATTATATTATTTATGTTTATAAATTTATAATCATTAGATAGTATAATTTTTTATAAATCTAATCATATAAAGTATATATTATAATAGTTAAAATTTATTAGTCTAATTATTGGTCAAAGTGATATACATTGTGCCAGATAAAATGGACTGGAGTCGGTAATTAACTAATCGAGCTCCCCGCGTGGAAGTGGAGATCCACCGGCCGCGGCCGGTTGTCCCCGCACGAAATATGTATTTTTTTTAGTACTGTAATTGCTAGGGGGTAACCTCCCAAAATAAATTATGCATGCATGGCTAGTAGGAGGTGAGGGCCTTGTCAGCTCGACAGTAGGAGTAGGGTCTCATCAGCAATCAAGTTGCTGAGTCACATGACATGGTGTCGGCAGATTAAACAACAAAGAGACCAGTGAAAACGAACTCGGCCAGTTGGCACTTGGCAGCGCTTTGCAATTGCAATAGCCCTGTCTAAGTGTTGATCATAGTTGCTAAAAAGTCACGATTCTGTAGTGTGATTTTAAGATCTTAGTTTATTGGGTTAATTCTATGATTCTATTAAGTAGAATATACGATTTTACAATTCTAGTAGCTATGGCTGTGCTGTTGCAGCTACCGTTGTAATTGTTTCTACTGCTGCTGCTATAATAACTTGTGAGAGTAAATTTTCCAACTCCTGTAGTAGGTAGGGTTCGAAATTTTGACTTTCACCGATTTTCGGTAAATATGCATACTAGTCATTTTGGTTCCATTTTATTAGTTTTCAAATTTTAGCCAAAACTTCACAAATATTTAAATACTTGCCGTTGATTTTTGCTCCTATTGTCCCCCCTTCAATATATATTTATGTCTTAGCAGCAGGTAGACTGGACCTAGCAGTAGCCAATAACAATCACACCCGATCACATTGTATGATCCTATATGATGTCAGTATTATTGATTCCCCATGTGATTCAAGAAAAGAAAATTTCTTATTTGACGCTGAAAAAATAAGTTATTTTTTTTATCCTATTTTTTTTTATTTTCTATTTGACACTCATTTTAAATTTCATCCCTCATACGATACTACCGTATGTTAGCTTCTTCAGACCCTGGACACGCTGTCAGATATTTTGATTGGGTCAAAATTACCCTCCGTCGAATCTCTCCCGTGCGTGTGCGTATCCCGTCCTCTCTCCCGTGCGTGAGTGTCCCAGGCTCGAACCCTAGACCAATCCGGCGGCGGGCTGATTCCTGGCGGTGGCCGGCCGTCGGCGGCAAGATGGAAGGAGATCCGGCGGGGGAGGATGTGGATCCGGCCGGTGGCTCCCTCTGGCGGGGCGTGGCGGCGGCGGCGAGCGCCCCCCGGCGGTGAGCCCCCTCGGGCTGGTTGCAGAGGCGGCGGCGAGCCCCGTCGGCCGACGCGCGCTCCCCACAACCAGCTCGATCGGCGGGATCGGATCTCGACCGTCGTCGCCCCGCGAGATGAGCCACGACGACCCCGGCTGTTCGGCCGAGGGAAGCGCAACCGGACGGGCCTTCTTCTCCTCCATATTCGTTCTTCCGGCGTGCTCTGTCTCTCCTATCTCAGCGCGACGACTACGCTACCGCTGCCGCCGTCGCCGCCCTACTGCCCAGATCTTCGTCGGCCTCTTCTCTGGCAACGAGCACCCGAAGATGGTACGCCCGCCCCTTCTCTTCTCTACCTGCTGTGCGAAATCGAGCAGCACCAAAGCCTAACCTAAGCTATTTGGCAATTTGTAATCGGACCTGATCTAATCGCAAGCGCATACATGAATTATGCCTACTAACTTCGATTGTTTTGCGAAAACGTTATCGGGCGTAGATGCGTACACCCATATCCTTTGTTGGGTCCGCCCCCTGATCTATGTGGCTTTGTTCAGGTGGTCCTGCAACCAGATCGGTTCCTAAGCGAGCTGACGAGCATGTACGAGCGGAGCACGGAGAAGGGATCCGTGTGGGTCACCATGAAGCGATGTGAGTGATCTCTCTGTTGCGTGTTGATTTGCAGATTGGAGCGGCTGACGAGTTGAGGTCTGACCTGATGCGGCGGCGTTGTTTTTTTTTGGGGGCAGCGACTCTCAAGAGCAAGGCACAGTTGCAGAAGATGGAGAAGAAGGGGCAGGAGGTAGAGCACCGGTGCCTCATCCGTGCCTCTGATGGCAAGAAGAGCATCTCAACCTCGGTACTGTGACTATCCTTGTGCAGCTGCTGGGATTAGTTTTGGATAAGATTGCTGGTTTTGTGCATACTTTGTACTGGTGATTGGTCAGCAGTTTGCTAGCAAATCCATTGCTAATTATGTCCATGCAGTTGCTATGAGTATGAATTTAGGATCAGACATTTTCGAATGTATTTGCCTATATGCTAAATCATCATGGTCACTGATTATGGACTAGTGGTAGGGTGTGCCATTTTGTGTTCTCTCATAGGGACTGTATATGGATGTAGAAAAAGTAGATGGAAACCCTACAAGCTTAGTAAATCAAAACAGTGTCCTCAATATCTAGAAATCATGTGACGACTAGTGGAGTGAGTCAGGGCCATGGCCACATGGGGTAGAGCATATAGCTTCGGTAGTATGTGGAGCTTCTCTTCTGTAGCATTCTAGCATGATGGAAAGTAGAGAGAAACTTTAGAAATCAGCTTCTTAGAACTGGAATCCATAGGATATCATTGCTAACAATGAAATAGCATAAAGATTGTTTGGTTTCTATTGTTGTAATTCTTACAAACTTTGGTGCATGACATGAGCAAGCAATATGCTTAACATTCAGCTAGTTTGTTGATCTAAAGGAAATGTTTATGGTTACCACATATACTTAACAGTTGTATCTGTTGTTAGTTCCTAGGTTTGTGAATCCCTTTCTAAGTATTGCATCCTTTCATGCCCTCACCAAGTCTTTCTTTCATCAAGTGTGGATTACTTGAGATATCTCACTTATAAGCATCAAATGTGTAAAGAATGACAGTCATTTACTTGCACTGTTTAATTTGTGTAATTGCATTTAACAGTGATGATGCTCATTGGTTTCTACATTTTAGCTGTTGGTGGAATCCTTTATCAAGGTTATATGATAATTTTTCACCTCAAAACAGTGTGCCGAGGCCTGTCCCACTGCGTCGCCGCTGAGGACAGGGAGATGGCCGCCCTCGCCGCTGCCGCGGGGCTCAGGGAGCTCGTCATGGACAAGTGCCTTGGCGTCACCGACGTCGGGCTCGCCAAGGTCGCCATCGGGTGCCCCGGGCTAGAGAAGCTCAGCGTCAAGTGGTGCCGTGAGATCTCCGACATTGGCATCGAGCTGCTCGCCAAGAAGTGCCCCGAGCTTCGCAGCGTTGACATCTCCTACTTCAAGGTAGCATCCCTGAAATTCGTATCAGTCTCTTTGGTCAGTAGTACGATTGGTCTGAAGCCTCTGATGGATTCAATTGAAAATGATTGTGATTTGACCTGTCGAGAATTCAGAAGTGTTCAATCGTCTGTGAACTGACTAGAATGGGGGACAAATGTGGCAATGCTAGTAGGATGCTGTTTCCTTAAAAACATTAAGATTCTTCTTAGAGTTTAATAGTTTATGAGATTGTTCCCTTGCCAACATAGATGCTATTTCGCGTGCATGAATCAAGTGAGCTCCAATTTCTTGTCTCTTGTTTTGCAAAGGAGCAATGAATCCCTTAGATCACTCTCCACTCTCGAGAAGTTGGAGGACATAACAATGGTCTACTGCTTGTTTACAGACGATGATGGCCTACAGATGCTAAGCGCAGGCAACTCGCTGAAGGTAATCACCTTGCAGGCATGTAAGTAGAGTTCCTTTGCTCTTTTTGCGCTTTTGAGTACTCATGATGCAAATGAATGCCATTTAGCAGTCAAATTCACACTGCCAGTGGTTGTTCACCTTCTGCTTTACACTTGCAGGAGCACTACCAAGAACAGCACCAGCAAAGCAGCAGCAACAGCAACGAATGCAGTAACCCCACAAACGACAGCAGCAGCAGCAATAACAGCAACAGCCGCAAGAGAGAGGCAGAAGACAACGAAGAAATTTTGCCCCAGAGAAACAAATCAAGGCACAGTTAGCTGCAAACTGATTATAGGAGAATTAACCCCCTTTTTTCTCCCTTTATTTATTCTTTGTTTTACTTAGCTTTTGGCAAACTAATTTGTAACACAAGCGAATTAATCCCCTTGTTCATATGAACTTGCTATATCAGGTGTCATTATCATGTTGTGTAAATATTGAAAAAAATGTTGTATAAACGTCTTACAAATCATGCTGCTGTATCATGTTGAAAAAAAGAGAAAAAATGGCATCCCAGCGTCTGCACACCGGCCACCAGCAAAAAGAGAAAAAAAAAACAGCGGCCAGTCTGCTTGCTGCATGCGGCGTGTCTAGCAAAATTGAGAAAAAAAAGAGAGCAGCCAGATACCCTGCATGCGTCTAGGGGCAAAAATGTCTTTTTAACGGCCATTTAACACCGAGATGATGAAAGTTGAAGTGAGTGTCAGATAGAGAACGAAAAAAAATTTAAGACAAAGAAAGGAACGACTCATTTTTTAAGTGTCAAATAAGAAATTTTCTCATTCAAGAATCAAGGCCATGATTTTAACAAGGAAGGGGGCATATGACCCTTTTACAAATAGATTATTAGGTCATGTTAAACACAGCTCTAGGTCCTAAGATTATTTGAACATCGTTATCCCTAGCTCGATCTAGGTCTTACAGCTGTAACTCAGTATGTGTAATCTATTTATGGAAGAACTAGGAGAACCAGGGTCATCGATGGGTAGTGTGAGGTGGGCGACCGAATAGGGGCCCTAAGAGCATGGGCCCCCACCTCGCATTCCTCAGCCCAGTACCACTCCGGTAGCCCAGCAATTTAGATTTCTGAACGTCAAATGGGAGAAAGATAAACCTCAGCCTGGCGGCAGCACCAGCACGCGTCCCCTCCACTCCCGTCCCCTTGTCTTCGACTCTTCATCTTCATCTCGCATCGTCGCCAACAACGCCAACTCGGCAATCAGCACTAAGAAACGCACGCAGTCAGAGCTGCACGCCCGCAATGCTGCAGGTGGCAGGCCGCAAGCCCGCAACGGCAATGGCCAGCAGGGACCAGAGGGACGCACAAGGAAGGTAGACACTCAGGTGATTCCCAGTTTGATTATTAACTGAATGAATTTTGAGTCTAAAATTATATATTGGCAAATTGCGATGTAGGATGTACCTATATAAATCATTTTTATGAATTTGTAAACATGGAGACGTTTATTTCCTTGATCCTCATCAATCAGCACTTGAAAATGATGCCTTTGAAACGATTAATTATGAAGATATAATTGAAGATTCATTTCAAGAAATACTAGACTGATGATGCTTTTCTGTAGAACTTGAGGTCAGTAATGCCTTTTCTATTTTAGAGTTCATTTTTTGATGTATTCTGCATATTGTATGAAATAATACATTTTTAAGTTATCTATTTGATGCGTAAAAATATTCATTAATTTTTCTAGCCATTCATTAAAAAAGATCCAGGGCCCCAATTTACATTTCGAAGCGAATCCCCAAATTTCTGGAGACGGCCAGTTACTACTACTGCACATGTAGATTGCTTTGTGATCACAATGGCAAAAGCAAGATGAATACAATACAACTATATAATATACGTTAATTTGACTAAAACTTTAGTGACATTCAGAGATCAGACAACATTTTCGTTGATGGAGATCATATATATAGAAGTCAATTTGCAATAACTGAAGATTTGGATAAAAAAAATGTACGTACTAACGAATCTAGGCGCACAAATGGGTGAGCAAACAAGGTAGTTTCTAGCTAGTATAAGGACATCACCAATAACGCAGAGGAGAACTAGAGTACATTTTTTTGTCAACAGGAAATCGAACTGCAGTACAGTGTGCAATCTTGCAGCAAATAAGTAGCTACTAACGATTTTCTGCCTACGACTTAACGTGCGCCCCCGCCCAGCACTAGCCAAACTAGTTGCTGCGAGCCAACTGGATCATTGCAGCTGCGCTGGTGAAGCCGCAGCCAGCGACGGCGCAGCTGGTCACCTCCGGCGCCACCGTCCCCCGCATCACCGGCAGAGCAGGCTGCGTACGATCTCCTCCGCCCCCGAGAAAACCCTTGCAAAGCGCCGTCCAGAACGCGCGGTCCAGACCGCCGGACTCCGCAACCGTCCGCCGCGCCTCCTCGCCGACGCTCCTCCGGATGGCCCTCTGGTTGGTGAGGCGGTCGATGAGGTTGTGGAGGATGTCGACGGTGTACTCCGGGTGGCCCTGGATGCCCAGCGCGAGCTCCTCGACCGCGAACACCTCCACGCGCGTCTTCTCCGAGTACGCCAGCACCGTCGCCGCCGGCGGGATCTCCCACACCTCGTCCTGGTGAACCTCGATGAGGGCGGCGCTCCGGGGGAGGTCGTCCTCGACGAGACCTCCGAGGAACTCGAGGCGGCCCTCCAGGAGGTCCGGCGCAAACGTCACCTTCCTCACCCCGACGTCCCAGCCGTTCCGAGCCCTGCCGACCCTTCCGCCCAGTGCTCGGCACAGCACCTGGTGCCCGAAGCATATGCCGAGCACCCGCTTCCTCATGGCGTGGACGGTCTGGACGAGCGCGCAGAGGCGCCGGATCCACGGCTCGTCGCCGTGCGCGTCGTGTGGGCTCCCGCTCACCACGAAGCCGTCGTACGACGCCAGGTCCTCCGGCGCGGGGAACTCGCCGGCGATCACGCGGAAGCAGTCCCACCTCTCGTCGGTGCCACCGCTGACGTCGCCGAACGCGGCGACGAAGACGTTGTAGTATCCGCCGTACACCTCCTTGGCGTACTCCGAGTCCCAGAGCGCCAGCAGCAGCGCGTAGCGCCTCCCGCCGCGCCCCGCCGCCGGCTTAGTCATTGCCGGTGGTGATGAGCAAACTAACAGAAGATAGCTATACAGCCGATCGATCGGAGGCGAAGCTCAGCTGACCAGCTAGCTAGTTACGATCGAGCTTGCGAGTGTAGTGCAGATACAGCCGATCGATCGGAGGCGAAGCTCAGCTGACCAGCTAGCTAGTTACGATCGAGCTTGCGAGTGTAGTGCAGCAACACTGATCAGCTGTGTGTTCTGCCAATTTGCAATGATCTGCAGAGCGATTCGGAGCTCCTATTTAAGCTGTGTAGTAGGCGTGTAGCTGTAGCTCGATGGAGTCGCGATCGCTTGTGGAACACATGCATGGCTGTGATATAAACTAATGATCAACGCTATCGGAAACGTTCAATTTGCCGAGCGTTTTTATGTTTGCCGAGTGTTTTCTTTTGGGCACTCGGTAAACAAGTTCTTTGTCGAGTGCTGCCATAAAAATACTCGGAAAAAAAACACTCGGTAAACAGGTGGTTTGCCAGAGTGTAAAAAAAATTTTTGGGAAAGAAAGTGAAGAAAAAAATGAAAAAAAATCTTTGCCGAGTGCTCAGATCTAGGACACTCGGCAAAGTAAAAAATATTTTTTTCTAGGAAAGAAAGAGAAGAAAAAAAATGAAAAAAAATCTTTACCGAGTGCCCAGATCTAGAACACTCGCCAAAGTAAAAAATATTTTTTTCTGGGAAAGAAAGAAGAAAAAAATTAAAAAAAATCTTTGCCGAGTGCCCAGATCTAGGACACTCGGCAAAGTAAAAAAATATTTTTTTCTGGGAAAGAAAGAGAAGAAAAAAAATGAAAAAAAATATTTGTCGAGTGCCCAGATCTAGGACACTCGGCAAAGTAAAAAATATTTTTTTCTGGGAAAGATAGAGAAGAAAAAAATGAAAAAAAATCTTTGCCGAGTGCCTAGATCTGGGATACTCGGCAAACGAAAAAAATCCTTTTTAACCCCAGCGCCGCGGGCTCCCCTTCTCCCCGCGCCGTTTGCACGCCCCCTCCCCTTCTCCGCGCACGGGCACGTACCGCCCCCTCCTCCCTCTCGGCCCCGGCGTGGCCCCGCCCTCTCCTCCTCCCTCTCCGGCGCCGGCGCGGCCTTCCCTCCTCTCCTCCCTCGTCGGCGTGGCCCGCCCTCCCCTCCTCCCTCACCGGCGCACCTCCCTCCCTCCTCCACCACCTCCTCCAGATCCGGCCTCGACGCGGGCGGATCCAGCGACAGTGGCGGACGAGGAGGCCGGATCCGGCCACAGCGCGGCCGCCCCCTCCTCTCCCTCTATTCCCACCGCCGGTGCCCCTCCCCCTCCTCTCTCTTCCCCGGTGGCGGATCTAGCGCGACCGCCCCCTCCTCTCCCTCTCTTCTCATCGTCGGCGCCCCTCCCCCTCCTCTCCCTCCTCTCTCTTCCCTGGTGGCGGATCCGGCGCGACCCCCCTCCTCTCTCTTCCCTGGTGGCGGATCCAGCGTAGCCGCCCCTCCTCTCCCTCTCTTCCCACCGCCGACGCCCCTCCCCCTCCTCTCCCTCCTCTCTCTTCCCCGGCGGCAGATCCGGCCCGGCCGCCCCCTCCTCTCCCTCTCTTCCCCGGATCCGGCGGCCGCGCCCTCCTCTCCCTCTCTTTTCCGGCGTGGCGGGTGGTGGCATGGTGGTGGTGGGCGGCGGTGGCGTGGTGGTGGTGTTGGGCGGCGATGGCGTGGTGGTGGTGGGCGGTGGTGGCTCGTGGCCGTCGGATCCGGGTGGCTTTTTTGTGGTGGCTTTTTTTTTAAAAAAAATGTTTGCCGAGTGTATTTTGGGCACTCGGCGAAGTCTTTGCCGAGTGTCCGACAAAAAACACTCGGCAAAGTCTGTTTGCCGATAAAAATTCACCGAGTGTCGTTTGCTGAGTGTGACACTCGACAAATCCTTTGCCAAGTGTTTTTTAGGCTTTGCCGAGTGCCATGGGCACTCGGCAAATGTCCTGATTCCCGTCGTGCAATACACGTGCAAACTGCAGCGCACAGGGACCAGGCACGACGTGGCATTGGGGGAAAGCACATCGACCGGCACATCCGCCGGCATTAATTCTCTCCAAACACGGAAAGGCAGGAGAGCTAGCTACACGAGCAAATTAGGCAAACTAATTTTCCTTCAGCATATAAGCCCTCGTGCATATATGACCATTAAAGTTATGATGA